TCAATAGAGGATGGGAAAATCATTGGGAAGGTTTGGTTTCCAAGGCGTTGCCTAGAGTCACTTTAGACCACCACCCCATTAGATTAGGAACAAAAATCTTCTTACATGGCCCTGCTCCTTTCAAATATGAAAACATGTGGTTGACGCATCCAGATTTTATTCAGAAAGTGGAGGATTAGTGGAAGGAGGAACCAAGAGGAATAAGGTGGGAAGGAATCAAATTCCATAAGAAATTGCAAAGATTAAGATCTAAAATAAAGGAGTGGAATAAGGATCATTTTGGAAGGTTAGAAGAAAGGAAACTGACCCTAATTTCCCAGATTGAAGAGTTGGACAATGTGGAAATTGAGAGAAATCTCCGTGCGGAAGAGAGGGATTTAAGATGCAAATCAAAAAAAGAATTGGAAGAAGTCTTTAAGAGAGAGGAAATATCTTGGAGACAAAAGTCAAGAAAAAATGGATAAAGGAAGGAGATGGGAATACACAATTCTTTCATGTGATTGCAAATGGAAGAAGGTGCAAAAACTTTGTGGCTAGGCTGGAAATCAATGGAGAGCTAATATCAAATCAAGATGAAATTGCTAGAATCTTTGTGGACCACTTTAAATCCCTTTACAGGAGACCTCTAGAGGATAGATTAAGCTTAGAAGGTCTGGAGTGGCCTTTACCAGATGAGGAGGCAGCAAATTGGCTGGAAAGAGATTTTGAGGAAGAAGAAATAAGAAAGGCAGTGTTCTCCATGAATGGGTCTAAAGCACCGGGCCCAGATGGATTCACAATGGCTTTCTATCAGGATTGTTGGGAAGTGCTGAAAGACGATTTAATGAAAGTCTTTAAGGAATTCTCAAATACACATATTGTTAGCCCCAACTTTCTTGTTCTTGATTCCAAAGAAAGGTGATGCTAGCCATCCAAAGGATTTCCGACCCATTAGTCTAGTGACTAGTGTTTACAAGATAATTGCTAAAGTCCTATCATTGAGGATCAAAGTAATTCTCCCCTCCTTCATTAGTCAGTATCAAGGAGCTTTTGTTCAAGGGAGACAAATAGTTGATCAAATTCTAATAGCCAATGAATGTGTAGAGGAGATGAAGAGGTCTAGGAAGGAAGGTTTTGTGTGCAAATTGGATTTAGAAAAGGCCTATGATATGGTTGATTGGGGTTTTTTGAAAGTTCTGCATCAACGGGGGTTTGGGGAGAGATGGTGCAATTGGATGCTTGGGTGTGTACAATCTTGTCATTTTTCTATCTTTGTTAATGGAGTGGTAAAAGATTTATTCCCAACTTGTAGAGGGTTAAGGCAAGGTGATCCCCTATCACCCTTCCTTTTTACTTTAGTGGCAGATTTCTTCAGTAAACTTCTCTCTAAGGCAGACAGAGAAGATAATTTTAGGGGTTGGAGAGTGGGTAGAGACAATGTCCCATTTACTCATCTCCAATTTGCAGATGATATCATTATTTTTTGTGAAGGAGGAGACATTAGGAAAGTCGGGAGATTGAAAAATCTAATCAAGAAGTTTGAAAAAGTGTTAAACATGAAAATCAATTTGGACAAGAGTTGCATAGCAGGGATTAATTTGGAGGGGATGGTCCTACATAGGATAGCAGATTGCTTAGAATGTCATAACACCCTGTGGCCTTTGACCTACCTAGGGCTTCCCCTAGATGCAAACCCAAAGGAAAGTAGGTTATGGAATCCAGTTATAGAAAGATGTAAAAAAGAGATTGGCTGCTTAGAAGAGAAGTTACATCTCTTTGGGAGGTAGGATCACGCTGATAAAATCAACTTTGGCTAACCTACTCATCTACTTTCTATCTGTCTTTAGGATTCCACCAAGAGAAGAAAAGAAATTAGAAAAAATTATGAAGGATTTCCTTTGGGAGCCCGGAGAGACTAGAAAGGACCACTTGATAAAATGGGAGGTTGTGTGTAAAAGAAAGGAAGAAGGTGGTTTAGGTCTAGGGAATGTAAGGAAGAAGAATACAGCTCTGTTAGTGAAATGGTTATGGAGATGGCCTCTTCAGAGAGAAAACTTGTGGGTTGTAAGTAGTGGCAAGTATACATGGTAGATTGGAGAATGGTTGGGATGCTAGTGTATCGCGTAGGGCTACCTTGGCAGCACCTTGGAAAGCAATTCATAGCCTCCTCCCTCAGTTTCTCAGGTACATCAGGTATGATGTTGGCTCAGGGAATTTAATTCGTTTATGAGAAAACACTTGGTTTGGTGATCGGCCTTTAAAGGAGTTTTTTCCATCTTTGTATTCTATTTTGTTGTATAAAAATAAGGTCATTTCAAATTTTTTGGTTCTTCCTTCTTTGCCTTTAAGTCTTAATTGGGATCTCGGATTTCGTAGGGGTTTGAGGGATGAGGAAGCAACTTGTCTGTGAGAGTTTCTCCTTCTCCTTGATAGTGTTTGCTTAGAGCTTTCTTGTCCAGATAGAAGAATTTGGTTCCCAAGCTCTAAAGGTTCCTTTTCTTGTGCCTTCTTTTTTAAAGCTCTTTGTCGGTTCTCTTCCTCTCTGTCCTTTCCTTGGAAAGAAGTGTGGTTTTCGGTGATTCCCCCTAAAATTCAGTCCTTCTGTTGGGAATTGGCTCTTGGGAAAATTAATACTCTGGATTATTTGCAAAAGAAGAGGCATTTTCTGTGTATTTCCYCGAATTGGTGCACTCTATGCAAATCTGATGGTGAATCTTGTTATCATTTACTAATTTCCTGTTCTTTTGCTACAGATATATGGGATTGGTTTTTCTCTTTGTTTGGGTGCAGGTGGAATATGCCAACAGAGTTAAAAATGCTGTTTGACCCATCTACCTTTGTGTTACCGAAGAAGAGGGGAAGAGTAATTTAGAGGTACACTAGAGCAGCAGTGGTGTGGACCTTGTGGAAAGAGAGAAATTTCAGAATCTTCCAAGAGAAAGAAAGGAGCAAACAACAAATTGTGGAGTGTGTAATGACTAGGGTTATACACTGGCTACAAATGGTGGAACTATTCAAAAATTTCACATTTGATGATATTTGGAGGAATTGGTCTTTAGTGGCTTCTAGTTCAATGCAGAAGGTTATGGCAAGGTTGGCTTGGGCTCCTCTCATTGAAGGATTTTTGAAATTAAACTTCGATGGGAGTAGTCAAGGCAACCCAGGCCCAGCTGGAATAGGAGGGGTCATCAGAGACAAGCAAGGAAACTTAAGAGCACTCTTCTTAGCAGCCCTACAAGGTGTACAGATTGCAAGAGAGTTAGGATTGGAAAATTTGGTGATAGAGGGGGACTCCAAGGTGGTGGTGGGTTGGCTAAAAAACCCAGATTCAGTGATTTGGGTTTACAGAAATGAATTGAAGAAATTCAAATGGTCAACTCAGCAGATGGAGGTAACTATATAGTGGGTGGGGAGGGAGGCAAATGCTTTTGCTGATTCTCTAGCTAAACAAGGGGTAACTAGGGAATAGTTGTACTGGGCCCAATTGTAACTTTATGATGCTTCTGTATCAATGAGTGAGGCTGCACCTCGCGCCTCATATTGGGATGCTTGTAACGAACTATTTATCATTTGCTTCTAATGAAATCAATTGAATTTTATCTATAAAAAAATCTCAGATATGTATCTCTTTGTATCTCCCTAACCATAGTTGTCAAGGCGACAAGGCGCCCTTAGAGGCTCGCCTCGCCCAGTCGCCAAGCAGTTTTGCATACTGTGTAATAAAATTCTTTTATATTGTTATTCTTTTGAGATTATAATATTATAAAATAGATATTATTAAAGAAAAATATTCATTTTTTGTGTTTATAAACTAATTTCTTTTTATTATTTTCTTATTTGTTAGGGTTTAATCAACACAAACATTGCTAACTGCTGTATTGAACTCTCAATGACTTCAAAATCTGAACCAATAAGGGAAGAACTTAAAATTTTTGTTTAATCAACGCATTTCTTCTTCCATATTCATAAAAAAAAAAACACATTTCTTCTTCCACATCTTCTTCTTCTTTTCTTCTTTTCCTATAACAAAAATAGGGGTTCAGCCCCCATATTTTTTGAATTTTCTTTCCTTTCTTCTTTTTCTTCTCATAAAAATGTTGATTTTCTAGACTTAAACATGAAGTTTATAATGTTTATAATTTTCTTATGAAAATTATGGATAGTTATTAAAGAAAGTTGGTTATGGAACCTAGGGAACTACCCTAGGATATGTGATTTTTACTTAAAAAAATCAATCACCCAGGCGACTAGGTGACAAAGCGCCCTCCTGTCGCCTAGCCTCGCCTTGGTGCCTTGAAAACTATGTCCCTAACCCCTATATATGTATTCTCAGCCTTTAGAGCATTTGGTCTTATCCCTGACACCATGGGGTGTGGAGGTTTGTACTCTCACTTTTAGCAATGAACTATTTCCCTTTTGATTTTTATACTGACTAGGGGTGGGAGGATAATTGTTATATATATATATATATATATATAGTACTGTATTACTGTTTTGAGAGTTTGTTGTACTTTTATATTATATTTTGTTTCTCTATTCCAGGAGTCTCTTGGATGCAAGGTTCCTTCATTATCATCATCATTAATGATGCTCATTTGATCATTTCAAATGATAAAGAAAAAAAATATCGAAAATTTGAGATATTCCATTTGTTAAAAGCTTTTAAGTGTTCAGTCTGAGATCCATCTCTACCGGTATGCGTGTTCAAAATCTTTTTTTGATCAGTAGCATGTTCAAAATCTTGAGGTTTTGGATAAAATATTAGCCAGATATTAGACAGTATTTGAAAGAATTGTTGTTCTTAATTTGCAACTTTTTTTTTTTGTTTTATTTTAGTCCCAACTATTGGTAGGTCTGTTTTTGGTTCAACTTGATGATGGCAGAAGTGATGATATTCTGCCCCCGCCCTGCACACAACGAAATAAAAAAGAAACGCCAGATTATTTGAGTTAAATTTTATGCATTTTCTCGTTTACATTCTTGCTTTTTTCTTTTTAAATATTTTTTTTGCACCATGGCAGGTTCTGTTCAATGCAGTACTAGAAAATGCATGCAGTGAGCAGGGGGCAAGGATGTCTGCGATGGACAGTTCCAGCAGAAATGCTGGGGAGATGCTCGATAGGCTTACTCTTACATACAACAGGTCTCTCTCTCTCTCTCTACACAGACACATTTTGTGACCAATATATGCATAAAATCTTATTTACATGTAGTGACTGATCATCTCCCCGCTGTTTTGTCATATACTAGGACCCGCCAAGCATCTATTACAACAGAGTTGATCGAAATTATTTCAGGAGCATCAGCACTGGAGGGCTGATTTCTAAGATTTGTGTTTTAAGTTCATTGCGGATCCTTATATTTGCTGTCTTTCATCTTTTTCCCCTATCACTCTACTCAGAAGAGATCGTGAAGGTACATGGGGAAGGAATCTCTTGATTAGTTTTGGTTGGGTGGATAAATGATCTGCTGTGGGTCTCCTGGCAATATTGTTTGTCCAACTATTGCAATTGTGATCTTCAATAAGTAATGAACTAGATTGGTTGTTGTACTGCTCAATGAAGGGCATCAGAAATGCCATGAATCCTGCTTATTTCAAATATACATGTACATGCATCGAGTAAGGAAAATTGCTATGAACGTTTTTTGATTAGGGGTTCCAACTGCAATCAGCCGTTGTCGGTTGCAGGCTTGCAACCAGTTCGGCAGTTCGGATGGGCATGCCAACCCAAACTCGTGTTGTCGAGATGGGAAGCTTGGAACTGTACAACTTCAGGATGAAATAAAGAAAAAACCAAACCAAAAATCAAAAGGGAATTTGTTTCGAATCTGCTGGCAATAGTTCGATTTTCGACTTTGGGATTGGTTTTTCACTTTAGCCTTGACATGTTGCTTTCCCCGAGTTCTAACATAAAATCTGTAATCTGGATGAAAGCTTGATGGACAGTTAAGATTGAGTCAAGCCTATTGACAAAACTCATTGAGTGGTTTCCCTCGACTTACTTTCTGTCTTATTTCCTGATAAACAAAAAGCAACCTAAAGGTTCAGTGGTGGGTTCCACCTAGACCTGTTCATGGGCCGGGTGGCCTGACAGGTCGGCCTGCCCCCCGGACGGGCTTGAACATGCAAATGAGTTTGCGGGTTTAACCTCGGGCCAAAAGCCTGGCTTGCAATAAATTCAAGTCAGGCTTAGGATTTGCCAAAATAACCCACCCTAAGCCCAGCCCGACCCCACCTATAGACTAAACTTAAAAAACCTTAAGTTGAATTTCTTTTCTTTTTCACCTCTTTCACCTCTTTCCCTTTAGTCGAACCTCTCTTCTCTTCACATCCTCCTCAGTCTTCACTCTTAGGCAGCCACACAACCGGCGAGGCGGCGAACATTCACCGGCGCAACAACTCTGGCGGTGAGTCTTCTCTCTCTCTCTCTCTCTCTCTCTCTCGTTCCTCTTTTCACTTCTCTTTCAAATCTCAAACATCGGCGAGGCGGCGAATATAGGTACTGGCAGCAGCGGTGTGTTCTCTCTCTCTCTCTCTCTCAGACGCGAACTGACACACTTTCACTGTTAAAATCGCAGCTTACCACGAACTTAGCTCTGGCGAACATAGTCACCGGCAGTGAGTAAAAGCCCGAGCTCGGGCTTCAGGCTTTTTATCAGGGCCAGGCTCGGGCCCAAGTTGTAGGCCCATTGGTCGGGCCGGGCTCAGGCTCAGGCTCAGGCTCGGGCCTAACAAATTTCTATTCATGAAGAGTAAAAGTCCGGCCCGGCCTATGAACAAGTCTAGTTCCACCCAAGATGGGGCTCTACACAAAAACCAACCAGCATGATGATTTGATGTGTATGCGTTCTAGGCCATGGATGGATTATGATTTATATTTCATTTTGGCATATTTAAAGGAGCCTAAAATGGAAATTTTGATCCATCGTCCAAATATCAGGGTTTTAAAAATTGACCCGAGACTGGAATTGCTTTGCCACCGGTTTCCAGGTTAGTGGTTCGGCTGTCTGGTTCGGATGGATGGCCTTTTCTATTTAAAAAAAATAGAAAGAATAAAAAAAATAATTAAAATAAAAAATGGCTAAAAACCATTGTCTAGGTCGAATGGTTTGACAACTTGTCTGTTTAGGTCAACATGTCGTTGATAAAGTCAATGGTTTTTGGTCAAGGACTGGGCTAAGGGTGAAATGGAATCAGTTGCCTGGACGGTTCCCAAGTCGAATGTTCTGACTGGTTCGAAAATACTACCAAATATTTTCTTCTAAATTAAATATCTTTCTACTACATTTCTTCTTTCCTAAGCTTTTTTCATTGTCACAACAGTTTGGTTTGTGACTCGGTATCCATCCATTTGAGGAGGCGTGTATTCGTACAACAATTAACACCACTAACTAGGCATATATAGGAATGGCAATGGGGCAGGGCGGGGTTGGGTTCTTCATGCCTTGTACCCGACCCCAAATTCAAATTCCCCACCCCAAACTTGAGTGGGCTAAAAATCCTAACCCTATCCCCGTAGGGAACAAGGATCCCTAACTTTGCCCCACCCCACCCCAATCATTCTTACTTGTATACTTGTAAATTTATTTTTTGTTTTTTAAATCTACCTAAAATTATTTTATATTATGTAATAACATATATATGTTAATATATATTAGCATATATTACCAATTATATGTTATATAATATATCGGGTCAATAATGATCCCACATAACTCATTTATTACTCAAACAGTAACGACTATATTCAACACAAACGCAAGAAGGAGGGCTTGAACCTCCGACCTTGTGATTAACAGCACTGAGCTATTCCAGCACTGTTGATAATAATGCCACATACCAACTGAGCTATTCCAACACGTTCAAAAATTTTTCAATGCAAAAACGCTAGAAGGAGGGTTTGAACCTCCGACCTTGTGGTTAATAGCCACATGCTCTAACCAACTGAACCATTCCAGTTGATAATAGGGCCACGTACCTAAATTATTTACCAGTTGTAGTAGTAGACGAGTTCAAAAGTTTTTCATATAGACGCTAGAAGGAGGGTTTGAACCTCCGACCTTGTGGTTAACAGCCACACGCTCTAACCAACTGAGCTATTCCAGCACAATGCTACATTTCTTATTAATTAGCCAATTACGTTATAGACGAATTCAAAAATTTTTCAATACAAACGCTAGAAGAAGGGCTTGAACCTCCGACCTTGTGGTTAACAGCCACACGCTCTAACCAACTGAGCTATTCCAGCACGATTTATAATGATGTCACACACTTTATTAATTGAAATTAATAATAGACTTCTTTAAAAAATATTTTAACGCAAACGCTAGAAGGAGGGCTTGAACCTCCGACCTTGTGGTTAACAGCCACACGCTCTAACCAACTGAGCTATTCCAGCACCGTTTATAATGACGTCACACAATTATGCTATGTTTGATTTGAAGGAATCAAACCAAATATAGACTTAATTAATTGGAAACTGCAATAATAGACGACTTCAAAAAGATTTTCAACGCAAACGCTAGAAGAAAGGCTTGAATCTCTAACCTTGTGATTAACAACCACTCTAACTAAACCTAGCAATTGGGTTGGGTGGGTTGGGTTTGGGTTGGGTCAAGATACTTCGGATTGATTCGGGTTAGGTTGAATTTTGGGTTGGGTTATCAAATGCTAGACCTTAACCTTAAATGTTTGGATTAGGGTTAGCCAATGGGTCAATTCGGGTCATCCCAAAAAATAGCTGACATTAAAAAAAAAGAAAGAAAAACTACATGAAAAATGCCAAAATGAAAGGAATTAACCTTAAAATTTCAAATATAAAATAAAAAAACTTGAACATTTAACAATTTAAAGAGTAAACTATAAAGAGTAAAGAGTAAATAGAAAAAATTAAAGAGTGGAAACTTCTAACAATGCACAAATAGTCCCAATTAGACTTGACAATCAGGTCAGTAAATTGACCCATGACCCAACCTAACCTAGTTTTTTTCGGATTGGATCGGATCGTATCGGGTCATTTTCACATTCAGGTAGCTAAATATAAGACCTTAGCCCTATTTTTTTAGGTTGGGTTGGATCGGATTTATAGATTGGGTCAACTTTTTGCCAAATCTAACTCTAACCAACCGAGCTATTCCAGCACTATTAACATATTTGAAGTGCATTATTTTCATCATCTTTACACGTGGCAATATCACAAGCCAATAGATAGTTCCACTCGTTCTTTCGACCATCATCTTGTATTCTTTGTTAAAGCTTTTCACCAATAAGCCCTTGCCACATCTAATAGTAAAGGGTAGTTGCAGTACCGACATGAATTATATAAGCCAATTGATTTAAGCCATTGACAAAGGGAATCCCTCTTACTTAACATATGGCCTACATCAACATACCAAATAATCAAATATAAGCTTTCTTTCAATATATAATAGTAAAATAAAGGAAAATTTCAGTTTAGAATCCGGAACGGATAGTATAAATTTATTACCCGAATTTAAAAACGTAACCGGATTTCCCTCCAAAATTGTTGATTTTGACCGTTTTTTATTTTTTTTTTGAATTTTTTTATTTTCTTGTCAGAACAGTTCAAGAGTTTGGTTCGAATGGTCGAACTGTTTGACCCGGTAATCGGACCCCTGATCGGTCGGTCACTGGGTCGGTTTTACAAACCATGCTTTCACCTGTGTAACTGATCTCTGAAACCAATATTTTCGAACTGTTCGGCTTGGGAACCATCTAGGCAACCAGTTTTGTTTTACTCCAAACTCGGAATCTGGTAAAAAACTGCTGAAAAAATCGATAAACCGTTGACTTGTCAACCTATTTAATGATTTTTGACCGTTTTTTATTTTTTAATTTTACTATTAAAACAGGCTATCCATTCAAACCGGACGGTCGGACGATCAACTTAAAAAGCAATACCCAGAACGGTTCCATTTTCGAATGGTTTTTTAAAACTTTGTTCGGAACCAAAGCAAAGCGCAACTTTGAAAGCTCAGCCAGGGCTACATATATATTTTTATTAGTTATCAAATCTTGAAAACAATTAATGGATCACCTCGTATTCGCTATTCCCAAAATCAATCTCTCTCTCTCCTCTCTGATCCTAGTGGATGAATATCATCCACACCGGAGGTGGGGACAAAGGCTTATGCATTCCAGATTTACACCTCTTTAATGGTAAACGATCCAAGACTTTACAAAAAAAACCACCATCATCTAGTGGGGAACGTTACAAGCAGGAAGTGGGGGTGCGAAAGCCTGGAATAGTGCTGATTAAAGTGTTTCGTGTGGTTTATTCTTAGGGAAAATAACAACAAAATCGTAATACATTATTGATTCATTAACACAGCATGTAGTCGTGACTCGTGAGCAGTCTCTCTCTCTCTTTCTCTCTCTTGATTTATTAACACATCTCTCTCTCTTGACTCTTTTTATTTTCTGTTTCTTAATTAAATTATAGAAGAACACTTGATCATTCAGTCATTGTTCATTTTTGCTCTGGTTTAATTTTCAAATGAACAGGGGTAATTTTAGAATTTTAGAATGTTATAAATCATAAGTACATCACATGCATCTGTCACTACTAATGGTAGGTACTAAATTGACAATTTTTAAAAATTTAGATACTGTAATGACATGTTTTGAAG